TTTGAAAAATAAATCTGTTCTTTTTTTCTTATAAAAGGCTAAATAAAACAAAAAAATATTGGTGGTAATTTTTGAGTGTGTAACTTTTCAAACGGCACCCCATAAAAGTCCTGCAGCACGCCGCAGCGGAAAGAAAATTCACGAAGATTGAACTCTTTGTTCAATTATCTAATTATTGTATCTTTTTTGTAGTTAAGTGACAACGAGTAAGAGGTTATGTAAAAACTGGAGGTTCTGTGTGTGTGTGTGTGGGGGGGGGGTCTGCACTTTGATCAACCGAGGCTGATTTTTAATGTAAATAAAGACCGACTTGACTTGGAAGAGCAGTCTGCCCTCAAATGGAAAACCTATTTATGGTTCCATGGTCACCAGCATTGATCTGTAAGTGGCTGAATGTGAATTTGTGAAACACTGAAGAGGGTAAAAGGAGCTACAGGTGTCGAAAAAGAAGTCATGACTTCTTGCTCCATAGGAGCTCTCATTCATTATCAGAGAGATTAAAAAAGAACTTTTATTTTTTAAAGAACACAGAGCTGGGGATAATTAAAGTGTCCTAAATGTCAAGACACTTCTCCCATGTTCAATCAGACAGGGACATTTTTTATTTATCTCATGAAATATAATTATCTCTCTGAAGTAACATGTTTATTTTGTCTTATTTTCAGAGATGCATTTCATTTATTGTGATTATTTTCTGGAAATAAGCAAAGAGAATTAGAAAGAGATTCATGGATATGTCCTTGAAAGTCTGGATGAATTATAAACACAAAAATAATGCTTAATGAGAAAAAACCCATCATTTAGTTAGTGTTGTATATAGTGCATATATTATATAAACTACAGATTGATTTTCTCGTTATTCAACATTTCTGCAGTACGTGTTGCAACTCAAATCAATTCCCAGAAGAAAATATTGGAGAAAATATGAAGCAGTTTAAAATTTTTAACAATTCTGGGGGACAGCACTGTCAAAAAGCAAGAAAATATAGCAGCTAAGATGCCAGATATGCTTTGTTTTATTCAAACTCTTTAGTTTTAAAAGATTTACTGTATATCCTGTTTACAAAAAAGAGGCTGTGCCAAGCTCACAGCTGAATTTGTGTATTTGTTACTTTCATGCTAAATATGCATGCCTCCTATTAGCAACAGGCAGACATTAAAACAATAACTGGAATTTTAGTTGCAACATTTCCTCTAAATGGCCGTTCCGGCACCAAAGGTTGTGTTCACGCCAGTTTCTTTCCTGCTGTCTGCCTTTTTCTGTTTGGCAGCCTGCAGGCCCAAGACTGATGAGAGTCAACAGCTTGAGTCTGCACAGATAGTACAGCCAAGGCTAACAACGTGACTAATTGCTGGTAATAATGCTGACAGGTATGATTCACATCATGTGAGCTTTCTGTGTGCTCGTTATTACATTTTCATTTACTGAGTCTGACGCCAAACAGAAGCTGCTCCAACTTTTTTTTTGCATGTTTTGCTTAAATCCAGTCCTCTCTAGTATATTATTTTGTTCCCACGTCCATGATAATTACAGTCACTAATATATCCTCTTGTTTATTTTGGTGTATTTGTGAATTTTAGATTTTGTGTCGTGGCAAAGAGGCAAACTAACGTGTTTTATTTGCTTAGTGAAGCTGCTACAGAGGTAAAGATGGCATCGATTCTCTAAAGTAAACACCTGAAACACATCCAAGACAAGTTTCTGTTGCTCCAAACAGAAAAAGAGAGACGACTGGACTCAATATTTGCAATAGGTCAGAGATTTCTATGTTTTGAAAGTGATCGTAGTTGGCATGAAGTTGAAAGCTTTTACAAATATGATGCTGTTGTCCCTAAATAAAGCACTTATAATAAACCTTTAAAGAGCTGCCTGCAGGTCAAGCTGTGGTCAGCATCTTTGGGCTCAGTGATAGAGAAGTTGCTCATTGGTTCAGTGCAGAATATCTGAGGAGGTGGTGTAACTGTACTCCAATGTGTCCGATGTGTATCCAGCTCTCTGCACTGCATGGAACATGATTGTTCACCTTATTTACTTTAAACTTTTATTAGTTGTTGATAGGTTTGGGTGGGCATCTGAAGCATTCATGTTCTATGAAAACACATTCACTTTACATGCATTTGTGTAGGTCAGACATGCTGGACTTTATAAATTTATTATATGTGGTGTTCTTGCAATGCAAGTTACACATCTGCTTTGTGACATTATTGAGATTTCTGCAGTCTGTATTTTGATTTATTTAAAAAATATATTTTTTCTGCAGCTGTAAATAATTTCTGTGGCGCTTTGCAAATCAGACAAATTAGACTTTTGGTTCAGGAGCAGTATTGGTCATAATGAAAAATATAACACTTTTTTATTTTATTTTCTGCAATCATTTACAATAACATTAATCAGTCAGAATGCTGCAGCACTCACTGTACTGTAAATGCTGATTTTGTAAAGTTCTAGCCTAAAACTAAAATATTGGCTTTAGATGATACTTTAAATACATATTTTCATGTATTTACTAATGTTCTGTAATATTAGCTTAATTACTGAGTCCATCATCAGAATCCACGAGGAGATCTAATAACTGCAGTTATTTCTTTAAGATCATCTGCAACACATGAAGGAACTAATGACAGAAAATGTGAGGATAAAAATCAAAACTTCTCAGCAGATTCAGATGTTAACTGTAAAGTAATTAGATATTTTACATATTAGTTGGAACATATTACATTAGGTTTGGTTACACAAATAGTGTTGCATGGATTATTTACAGTAAAATGCAGGTTATTGGGGTTTTATTGTGCACATTTTACTGTAGTGTTTGTCTTGTTGCATATACATGTGACTGTAACAGCCTTTATCCCCTCTTTTGGAAATGCTATTATATAATGCAAGTCTGGATT